GGTTTTAGGGCTTGGGGTTTAGGGGTTTAGGGTTTTAGGGTTTAGGGGTTTAGGGGTTTAGGGCTTTAGGGCTTTAGGGGTTCAGGGTTGAAGGGGTTTTGGGCTTTTGCCAATTGAAACGTGGGAGTTCTCGCTGGTTGCTCAGTGCCGTCTTCCGTCTCTAGCTCGGTCTCTAGTTGATGGGTTTTGGAGGAGTCAGGGTTTAGGGTTTAGGGTTTAGGGTTTAGGGTTTAGGGTTTAGGGTTTAGGGTTCAGGATTGGGGAGGGTTGGGGGGGTTCAGGGTTTCGATTCATGAAGTTCGTTTGACGAGTGAGGCTTTTGGGCTTTGGCCTATAGTCTGTAGCGCCGCTGCTGCCGCGGATGGTGATGGTTCTGCACCTGTATGAGTTTGTATCGTCGCGGGGTCTGTGGCAACTGCCGTGGAGTTGCTGCCTGCTGTGGCTATCGCAAACCTACACCCTACACCCTAAACCCGGCTAATGCAATCAACCTCGGTTCTTCTTGTTTTCGTAGTGCTCAAACTGCTATTTGGGCCGCTGAGGTCCAAGCTGAAACCAAACTTCTTGTCCTTGCCGTTGCTTCCGCCGCCGCCCATTTAGGGTTTAGGGTTTAGCGTTCGGGGTTTGGGGATGCTGCTGCTTCGGCTATCAAGACCGCTACTATTGAAGGAAAAGAAATAGCGTTGCATTCTGCTCCCTGCCGCTACTGCTGCTGTGCTCTTAGGCGGCTGAACCACGAATCCCACAGACAAAGCACTGCCTGAGCCCGCAACCAGGTCCTGCCCCCTGCACCAGCACCGTCCGGAAGGTCTGGCAGCGGCTGTGGGACAAAGGCAGTCCTCGCAAGCCCGCGCGAACCGAGACGTTCAGGGTTTAGGGTTTAGGGTTTAGGGATTTCGGGTTTTCGGGTTTAGGGCTTTAGGGCTTTGGGGTTTTAGGGTTTAGGGCTTACGGCTGTAAGGGTTTAGGGTTTAGGGTTTAGGGCTTAGGGTTTAGGGTTTATTGTTTAAGGGTCCAGGCTCCGGGTCTTGTCGTAGGCTTCAGGGCATTAGGCTTTAGAGCTTAGAGTGAACCGCTGTCCTAGACGCTCCATATTACCCTCTATCCTAAATACCCCTTTTTGAGACCATATACCCTAAACCCTAAACCCCTAGTTGACGGTACAAGGAGGGTCCTGGATGACTGCTCAAATAGGGAAGTGTGCGATTGCTGTCCATCAAGAGAAAGGTACAGTCTCGTGCTTGACAACTACTGGGCGCAACTATGGAGAACAATCGAAGGCCCACCAGCCAAATGCTAACAAACAACAACAATGGCAAAACCAGCACAGCTACATAACGGTGACTACACTACAGCCCTGCACACACTCGCACAATCCCGTGCATAAACCCTACGTCACATGTCAGCACTATTTGCCGTGCAAATTCTGCACGTCCCGTTTTGGCAACGCTGACATCACGCACAGAAAAAGAAGGGTAGCAGTACTGGATAAAATCCCCGAAACCCTAAACCCTAAACCCTGCTCCGTACTGAGCAAACCCCTGCGCCGCCCTCCTCAATCTGATCAGATGAAACCGAATTAAACCTGAAGCAAACCACCTGCCCAAAGAGCCACATACCCATTACAGGGGCCTTAATATTATGATTTAGGGCATATTCCTGAATTAAGAGGTATTGGGCTCTCTGGGTGAAGCCCCAAGGAATCTACAGACCCTCGAAAACTGACATCTGGAACCCCGAAAACCTACACAACCCTAAACCCGAAACCCCTAAACCCTGAAATCGCGAACCCTGTGCACTCAGCCTTCACATCCTTCAGTCCAACACCCTGCTGGTTGAGGGGTTTAGGGTCTAGGGTTTAGGGTTTAGGGTTCTTGGGTTTAGGGTTTAGGGTTTAGGGTTTAGGGTTTAGGGTTTAGGGTCTAGGGTTTCGGGTTTAGGTTAAGCGTGTAAGCCCATACCCAGCTGAAACCAAGCAACGGTAGGGGCTCCAATAAGCTTGTGAAAAGAAAAGGCTTGCTGTGTTATAAGTCGTGTATACCGATGACAAAGGCAAACAAAAAGGAAGTTTGGCTTCAGATCCCGTAACCCCGACCACCCTTTCCCTGAAACCCCGAAACCCCGAAGCCCTGCAAATCCATCATTCAACTCTGCAAAGCCCCCTAACACCCTTCAAAGCCGCGTGAAAGCCTTGTAAACTTATAAACCTTTCAGCAGCTGGCCTGGGGTATTCCAGGCAGTGCCAGGCATCGTCACGAGGGGACGCCAGCCTCATAAACAGCAGTAAGCTCCATTTCGCACTTCTAGGTCTCTCGGTTTAGGGTTCCCGGTTTAGGGTTTAGGGTTTAGGGTTTAGGGTTTAGGGTTTAGGGTTTAGGGTTAGGGTTTAGGGTTTAGGGTTTAGGGTTTAGGGTTTAGGGTTTAGGGTTTAGGGTTCCCGGTTTTGCGCTTAGGGTGCCAGGTTTCCCCCTGAACCCTTGTTACTGAGGGTGCCGTCTTCGTACTGCTGAGATCTAGTAAGGGAGCCCCCCAGTACAAGATAACAAAGGAGAAAGAATATAATATAATAGGGGCCTGGAAACAGGGTTTTGGGCTCCTGTTTAATATACTTGTAAAAAGGAACCCTGTGGAATAATCTATATCACAAGTTGGCTCATGACCTTCGGGGCTGCAGGGGATGGGCAGGCGTTTAGCCGGTTTAACGGCATCGCGTGGCGAGCCTCTTTTCTGAATATAATAAACCCTAAACCCCTAAACTCTAAACCCTAAACCCTAAACCCCTAAACCCTAAACCCCTTCAGGCTTAGGGCTTTGCTTCTAGGGTTGAAGTTTCAGGACACAAGACAGCTGAGTTGAGTTATTCAGGGTTCTCTGTGCTTGCGGCTTAGAGACTCCCGGGATGTTGGCTAAAGTTGTAGCTTTGCCAGCTGATGGCTGAGGGCTTCTTTAGGGTTTACAAAGGGTTTATGGGGCTTAGTCAAGGTTCATAGCGGTTTAATATAGGGGCCTTAATAATTAGAATGGGGTTTGGGGGTTCGTTACACTAGAATTAAAATAAGGAACCCTCAAAACATTGTTGGTAAAAATAAGGAACCCCAAAAACATTATTGGTAATTATTTCGGCCCCTACATGAATTCGGGTTCATAGGCGTTTACGATTCTGCCCACATGGCGGAAGCCAATGCCCGGTGGGAAAGTCGGAGCCGACCAGCTTCGACTTGAGATGACCCCGAAGAAGCCCGCGTTTGCGATGGACGCTTAATGCAGGGGCCTCAATAATTAGAATAAGTTTTTTTTTTGGAGGGGGGGAAATTATAATATATATATATATATATATATATATATGTATACATATATTTTTATAGTAAGGAACTCCCAAAGTAAAATGGTTGAGAGTTTCGGGTTTTGGGTTTGGCGCTTTCCCAGAGAGCCCAATACCCCGTAATTAAGGAATATACCTTAAATCATAATTTTAAGGCCCCCATAACTTAAGGTATATGCCTAATTAAGGTCATTGGGCTCTGTGGGGACGTAAGTTAGATCAACCACCAGGCGCCTGCGTCTCAGAAGTGGCACGGCCTCCTCCAAGCCGTCAGTGCTTGAGAGCTTGTGTGAGGCTTGCAGTAGGATCTAAGGCGCTAAAATTGTGGTGGAACGTTTCACAATTGAGGGTTTCGGGTTTAGGTGCTTGAGGTTTAGGAGTTTGGGGCACATGCCTGGGGTCTAGGCTGTGGGATTGAGTGCAGAAGGAACGGAAAGGTTTTTGTTCAGTCTTCCTGCTCTGATGTCTCACATCGATGTGGAAATTGGGGCTGGACCGCCGCCACGTCCGAAATGAAACACTCAAAAAACTCAAATGCGTCACCGGTCAGGTTTGCAGACAAGGGATCAGCAACAAAAAAAGAAACCCGGGCCCATACCGGCAAAAAGCGCAACGGTTTGCCATTGGAAGCCGCGATTAAACCGACAAAACCCATCAAATCCGCAAGCCGGAAAACCTAAACCGTACAGCACAAACCCCGAAACCTCGAAAGAACTCACAGGTGCCTTTCCGAGGTCGCTGTGGAGCTGCTGAGAAGACTGCATGCAAGGGTTTAGGGTTTTTAGAAGGGCCTCAACTTTATCTGGGCTTGGAGTTGAAGTAACCAGGGAGAAGAAAAAGGTATAAACTTTTACTTCAGAATGGCTGCTTTGAGGAAAAGGTCCCAAAAAACACTATAGTATAGTACCCCAGAACCCAGCTACTATACTGAGCCCCCCAAAGTTGGAAACCGGATCACGGACAATTCGTGCTGGGATTCCCTATACAGTACTCTTAACGAATGAGGCTATTGGGTTTCCAGCTTTTGGGCTTCTACTGTACTGTAGGGGCCTTAACAATAAGAATAGGGTTTTGGGGTCGATTATACTCTAATTATAATAAGGAACCTTAACTAATGTATTCTAATTATTAAGGCCCCTACTTGGAGGTTCTTATAGCCCATATTAAGGGACTTATAACCCCACTTATAACTACCCATGAACCTCCAAGTAACTATAATAAGGAACCTTAACTAATGTATTCTAAATACTAATCCCCCTATCTGAATACTCTAACTATCATAAAGAACCTTAACTAATGCATTCAAATTATTAAGGCCCCTATATGAATACCCTAATTACAATAAGGAACCTTAACTAATGCATTCTAATTATTCGGGCCCCTAGATGAATACTCTAATTACAATAAGGAGCCTTAACTAATGCATTCTAATTATTATTGTTATTATTATTATTAATAGTATTATTATTATCATTATTATTATTATCATTATTATTAGTATTTTTTACTTTTATTAAGATTATCATTACTATTGTTATTAAGGCCCCTATATGAAGTGCTTTCAGGAGCTTCGGGGGCTCTTTCAGATTCACGGTCCCTTTGAAGCTAGGGCTTAGGGGTTTAGGGCCTAGGGCCGGGGTTTCGGGTTTAGGGATTGGGGTTTAGGGTTTAGGGTTTAGGGTTTAGGGTTTAGGGTTTAGGGTTTAGGGTTTAGGGTTTAGGGTTTAGGGTTTAGGGTTTAGGGCATCAACACCCCAAATAGCACCTTCTACATGGAAGCTGGAGCAGAGCAAAGTGCACTGAAAACTTGATCATAGAACTCCTTGCGACCCTACTTACTCGGAGTTAGGATTAGGAGGACCCTTGAGGATATACACCCTCTCAATAAGGTCCCTGTTTAGGAGAGAGCCATAAAGTAGGGTTCAGGAGGGTCCCCTTTAAGGGGTCTCCCAAATACTACAGCCTACAGCACCAAAAAAACTATAATCACCAAGGCTGAACCGGTCAGCTCCCGTACAACCTTGCAGAAATCGTCAAACACCGTATACGGCCCAAAGTAGGGTTTAGGGCCTAGGGGTTTAGAGTTCAGGTTTTAGGGGGTTGAAGCAGGGTTCTGCTAAGCCGAAGGGCCAGGCGAGGCGTTCGGATGTGTCCGGTCGTCTCGTGCGCCTGCTCCCTGCGTTGGATTGATTGATGATGTAGGGTTCTACTGCTGTGAGCTTGGAGTTACACCAGACTTGGTAAATACGCTCCGAGCAACCCTCAAACCTACAGCCCTAACATTGAAACCCTTGAACGAATCCTCAGAGGCCTCCAAGATGTACGCAAGATCTTACTTGCCAGGCGGCGTTGCATAGCCGAGTGCCTGAAGGTTCAACCTCTAAAGAAAGTCTGGCATCCTCAGCGCTCTGATGGTTTCCGCCTTAAGGTTTAGGGGCTGAGGGCTCCAAGGCCGAAATACAGGGGCCTTCGAGGGTTTAGGGTTTAGGGTTTAGGGTTTAGGGTGCTTTTATTCCGACGGGTTTAGGGTTTAGAGATTATTCCGAGCCCTATATATGTCGCCGTCGAGAGTAGAGTTTGGGCTGGACTCAGGTTGCCGCGCATGCAAATGCTACAGGGCCTGAATAATCAGAACATGGGATGTGGTATAGCATAAATATCGTCAAGAACGCAGGGTTAATGTTGGGAAGTATAATTCTCGCTGCGGCCCTCAGCCTACACCCTGAAACCCAACACCCTGCAACCCCCAACCATCTCAAACCCCCTAAGTTGGGCTTGGGGAGGGTCGGAGCTTAAGCCTTCAGGGTTTAGGGTTTAGGGTTTGTCTAGTCCAACTGAAGGCACCCCCTGATCCCAACTGAAAAACATTTCAGAACCACGCCCGCCCACCACCACGTCAGGACCGCCGCCTGACGTCACCCGTCACAGGTGCTGATGAGCCTGTGGGGCCTAGGAGGAGTTGGGATTTATAGGGTTGAGGGTTTTATTTGGGGGTTGGTGTTTAAGGCCAGCGTCTCGGATTCAAGAAGGAGGACAGATCCCCAACCCTCGCGCCGATGACAGGGACCATGACATAGCTGCATCAACGATGGAGCCCTGCAATCAATGCTTGTCACAATGTCATTGTGATGGACAGCCCGGTACTTGCATTCGCCCTGTTACTCTTCCTTATCTCTTCGGTTTAGGGTTTAGGGTGTAGGGTCTTCCCTCCTTCCGGAGGCATCTCTCTTTCTGTCGCTCTTTTGCTGTCGCTCTCTCTGTCTCCCCCCTTTTTGTCTGAGGCCAGCTCTTTTGGCTTCACCATCCTCGGCTAGAAGGCTTGGGATGAACGAGAGTCCCTTTTTTGCCTGTGGTTTTAGATCTATAAGGGCGTCTATAGGAAAACGATATGGGTAGTGGTTAGTGATCTATAAAGGTTTCTGTAGGGTACTATATGGGTAGTGGTTAGGGCTCGCAGCACAAGTTTAAGACCTAGCGAGCTGGGTTCTGCGCTGCCACACTTCCGCCTCACGCAGACCGGCATGACGATTGAGGCCCCTGGCAAGACCCGACATGAAAATCTGATGTCCTATCTCGCCTGCTGAAGATACTGATATTGCGGATTTTCTTCGACGCTCTACGACGTGTTCGTGTTCTGAGTTCTGAAATGAGCTGAGTCTCCCTCCACTCGTCCCACGCGCTGCAAAACTGGCTTTCCTTCGGCAAGCCTTCAGCGTAGGAAGGCATCTGGCTCCAGGGCTTGGCCGTGGGATGTGCCACTGCCGGGGTTCGGCGCACCCGCTTGGGTGGGTCACACCTTCCTTGCGGCGATGGAGCCAGCATGTGTGGGGCAAATTCCTGCTCCTCATGTGGGCCCCCGCTCTTGCACGGGGCCTCCTGAAAGGAGCACCTTGGATGTTGACAGCCCTGACATGCGCATCCCTGCTGCCAGAGCTGTGAAGTGTAGCAGGGGCATCCTGCAGTAAACCTGTCAAGCTGGGGGGTTCGGCAGGTTGGCTGCTGAAGATGATGCTCTTGGAGTCGTGCGTAGCCGCAGCCGTGGCTGGGCTGCCGGATGCGATGCTGCGGAGTGTGCTGCTGCGAAGGGCGTCTTGAGACACGGGGTGGCGTGCGGTCGCGTGCCCGCTCACCGGTGTCCTCTGCAGAACGGTCGCGCTGCCAGGGCGCTTGCCGACTCTGCCTTTTGTTCCGCACGGCTGGCGGGATGAAGGCGCCTAGCCGGCACACGGCTGCAGTAAGGTAGCGCAGTCGGACTCTATCAGTCTATCAAGCAGAAGATGTTGCATGGATGCTCTGGATGAAGGATTTGGGAATAGAGTTGCAGGTTCGGCTCTGGGATGGAAATTCCGGCTCAGGGCCTGTGTTTTGGGGCTGTGGCTCCATGGCTTAATAGGAGCCATCTTAAGACATGAAGACTTTTTCGGGGCTGTAAACACAAAATCGAGCTGACCCTCCTATGGGTTTTCAGGGCCCTATCTCTGAACATAACAACCCAGAAAGCTGACAAACCGCTCATACGATTGGCCTTTGTGAGTTGGTAGCCCTGAAGATGCCTACTAGGCGATTGTTCTGACAGCCATACAGCCTTTCTGCCTGGTGCTGTTGATGATAACGATGCTGCTGATGGTGATGGCCGCGATGACGGAAAAATGATTGATGCTTATGACGGTGTAAGGGACGATGATGACATGATGATGACGATGATGATGATGATTATGATGACGGTGATGATGATGACGGTGATGATGATGAGGGTGATGACGATGACGGTGATGATTATTATGATGATCATCGTCATGATGGTGATGGTGACTACGGTGACGGCGATGACGGTGACGACGATGACGATGATGACGATGATGACGATGACGATGAAGACAGTGACAATACTCAGAGCGACAAGAACGTCAACAGCAAGAAGCCATAACAGTCCTTGAAATGATATGAACGGTTTCTCATAGTTGAGATTATGATGACTCCAAACATGCTGATATTGGAGTAGCACAACAAACTTCTCAACGTGTTTCACAGTAAAAGCTACTAGAACACTGAAGGAACGCGCGAAACTCTGAGAATATAAATCACACAGGAGAAGCAGCAAGTAGCACAACAATGCTCACGAGGACTTATGATACCACCTACTACAGACCAACAGTGAATTTTTCATAAATCCCTAAACACCTTTCCTTAAAGGCCCGAGTATTGGGATGCTAGCTATAATCGGGGGTCTCAAGTAAACCCTAAACCCGAAACCCTCAGCCCTAAATGCCATTGTGCTCAATCGGCGCGCAATAGCAGCAGAAGCACCTCGCTGCCATAAGGCCTGCGCTTCCTCTTCCTTGGGAGGTTAGGGTTTAGGGGTTTGCGGTTAAATTCGAAGACTTATTGCAGTCTATTGCTCTTGAATGAAGATTCTCATGTTACTTTGGGTTCTTTGGCTGCATAACAACTTGAAAACCCGTAATTGTTCAAGTTTGGGCACAAGGTTTCAGAATAGGTCCCCTAAACCCCACACCATAATCGCTTACAGTTTAAACCTCCCAAATCCTCTAGACACGAAAACCCCAGACTGTGGAAAGGCAGGCAGAGAAATGGAAACCTGGTTCGATTGGAAGTTGGATAGATAAATGTATAGTTACACCGATGGGCAATTAGACGCACAAACAGATAGACGGTTAGTTACTTCAGCTGCCACATCAAGGTGGCGCTCACCCGTCTGTGGAACACGCCCTCAACTAGGTTCTAGTTAGTCAAGGAGCTTAAATGTAAGATACCATAATTAGGAAGCCACCTCATTTACTATCGATCCCCATTTTTGCAACTGAACTCGTTAATTCCTTCCTAGACCCTAAACCCTAAAGTCAAGCCCCTAAGCTTCACAACCCTAGACGCTCACACCCTCATACCCAGGGGTTAGGGCGTAGGGTTTAGGGTTCACGACATGTCAACTTCATGTAAACTCTGACAAACCTAAGGCCCTTAGCCGCCCCTTTAGAAACCCGTTTAGGTACCCCGAAAACAACCCCGGCAGAACGCCAAACGACCCAAGATCAACCAAAAGCTACCGAAAAACAGAATCCTTACCGATCCAGGTTTAGGGTTTAGGGTTTAACTTAAACCCTAAACCCTGAATCCTAAGGCCCTAGAAGGAACTCTGTAGGGCTCTCTAAACCCGAACCCTAAAACCCTTATAAATGAAGTTCAAAACCCTAAAGCCCTAAATTCAAAAAGCGGAAGGTGCCACAGCTCCCCTGTAGAATTGCTTATGGGTACTGGGAACCCGCACAGGAATCCTTAAACCGACCCCAAAAAAATCCAAACAAACAGAACCCTTACACCCACCCTAAAACCCAAATGACTCCTTAAAACGACCCCTGAAAGGAATTGCAAACCCTAAACCCCAAACCATACCCGAAAAGCCACCTAAACCCTAAACCCTAAACCCTAAACCCTAAACCCCAAACCCTAAACCCTAAACCCTAAACCCCAAAAGTCACCGAGCTTCCGTCAAAAGCCTCGGCCGGTTAGAGCCCGCGCCCAACTCCCGGGCCTCGAAGTTCCCAGCCGCAGCCTGGTCTTCTGGGCTTCTTTTGGGTTTCGGGTTTAGGGTTTAGGGTTTAGGGTTTAAGAGTTTAGGGTTTTGGGGTTTTAGGGTTTAGGGTTTAGGGTTTAGGGTTTAGGGTTTAGGGTTTAGGGTTTAGGGTTTAGGGTTTAGGGTTTTAGGGTTTAGGGCTGTAAGGTTTTAGGGTTTAGGGGATTGTTCAGAGGTTGAGGGTTTAGGGTTTAGGGATTTTAAAAGGGGCTTGTTGGGTTTTAGAAGGTGCTGTTGGGCTTTCGTGGTGGATTTTCGAAGGTCTTAGACTTAGAAGGGCTTTGGAGGGGCTCTGCCGGGGACTTTGTGGCGGCGTTAGGCTGGAAGGTCTCGACTCTGGGTACCGGTGATTAGGGGGTTTTGGGTTTAGGGGTTTAGGGTTTAGGGTTTTGGATTTAAGGTACAGGGGTGATTTGACAGGCTTTTGGGCCGGAAGCAACTACAGCGAATGAGAGGTTTAGCGCGGGAGGTTATTCAGCCCGAGTATCGTTGAGGGTTTCGGACTTCAGGGTTTTTGGTGTTGTGGGAATTTTCGGCACTCTTTCTCTGAATCGTCTTAGCATTGCAATATTCAGTAGACCATTTGTAGTTTCGGTCTTGCTGCTAGCATCTTTCACATGTGCTGCATTGCTCGTGTTTACACTGATATTATCTTGTGTGACAAATGGTCTTCTCATTTGTACCAGTATTGCTTCTAGCTTTTCTCTATATCTAGCCGCAGTCAAAGTGCCTTCGATCGCGGTATTGCCACTCGTGCTAGCCGCTATCTGCAATCTTTATTGGCATCGTCCGGCTCTTCAGCCCTTAACCCTAGACCCTGAACCCGAAACCCTTAGGCCCGAAACCCAACACCCACAGGTTTGGGTCGGGCGGCAGGGCGTTGAGATGTAATCAGGGCTGTAGTCCCAATATGTTCGAAGCTTTGGTGCTAAGTTGGTGCGTCAGAGCAAAAACGGGATGGAGCAGCCTTGCAACCACGAAACACCCCCCAAACCTTGGAACCCTAAACCCGAAGCCCTAAACCCTAAACCGTAATCCAAGTCCTAGACCCAAAGGCTCGCCAGGGACTAAATGGTTACCCTGCCCCTCGGCCCTCGGCACGGCGCATGGTCTGATAATGGATCATGTTCATTGTTCTTTTCTGAGGGCCGCTGATTAAACCCTAAACGCTAAACCCAGAACCGTGCGCCGCCAGGGGAAGCTGCAGGGAGCAGGGCTTCGAGGGAAGAGCTTTGGCATTATAGAGTTGTAGGAGTTGGGCTTACAGCTACCTCCTTTTAGCCCTGAAGCAAACGCAAACAAACAAAAGAACACACAGACTAACAGACAACACACCATCAAGCAAGCAAGCAAACAAACAACAGCTGCAACGACAACAACAACAACAACAACCACAACCCTAAATCCTGAACCCTGAACCCTAAATCCATGGTATGCATGTGTGTATATATAGATATAAGTACGTATATGTTTATCGTATGCAACTGTATACATAAACCAGAAATATGTACTATAATATGAACAGTGTATATGGAAAAGGACAGACAGCGAGCTAAAGAGATAGATAGATAGATAGACAGATAGATAGATAGATAGATAGCCAGATAGATAGGTAGATAGATAGATAGATACATACATACATACGTACATACATACATACATACATACATACATACGTACGTACATGCATGCATGCCGACATACGTACGTACACACACATACATATATATATATATACACACACATATATACATATGTATGAACACACACACACATATATATATATATATATATTTATGTATATATGTGTGTATAGATATAGACAGATGTGTACACCCCGACACCACACCGAGAGCCCGGGCTGCCACCCTGGCAGCTGCCGCTGCGGCTTCGGCCGCCGCTGCAGCAGCCGCTGCAGCACTAGCCTGCCACACAAACAAGACAGGGTTCAGGGTTTTGGGGTTTAGGGTTTTGGGGTTTGGGGTTTTGGGGTTTGGGGTTTTGGGGTTTAGGGTTTTGGGGTTTAGGGTTTTGGGGTTGTGGGTTTTGGGGGGTTTGGGGCTTCGGGGCTTTGGGGTTTTGGGTTTTGGGTTCAGGAGAGTTGGATCAGATAGATGGGTAAATGGATAGATGGATGGATAGGGCGATCGATCGATATCTAGGAAGATAATTTTAGGTAGATAGGCAGACGGACAGATAGGTAGATGGACAGAAAAGTGGAGAGCTAGAGAGAGAAGGAGAGAGCTAGATAAGCATAAACATAGAAGGACAGACAGACAGGTGGATAGCCAGGTGTCTGTATGCGTTTAGATATGTACACATGTCGTTGTACATACATTCTGTTGCGTATGACAAACAAAGACACCTACATACATACACACATACAGACACAAATGCAGACACAAATACATAAAGACATGCAAGACTACATACATGCACACATACTCGAGCATTTGCTTAGATGCGTGTGTATGTGTGCCTGATGCTTAACTAAACCCAAAGCCCTAAACCCTGCACCCAAAGCCCTAAACCCTAGACCCTAAACCCAAAGCCTTGAACCCTACACCCTAAGCCCTGGATTTAGGGGTTTAGGGTTGAAGGTCTAGGGTGTAGGGTTTAGGGTTTAGCAGTGAAACGAAGCATCGCTTGAAATCCTTACAACCTGGGATCAGGGGTTTGGGGTGTCGGGTGTCGGGCAGTGTAGCTTTCTGGGTTTAGGGTAACACGCAAGACTTGATAGCCATTAGTAACCTAACCCCCAAAAAGGTAAAGCTCAAGCCCCAAACTTATACTCTAAAACTCAAACCCTAGACCTGCTTCAAACCCAGCCAGCCTAAACCCCAAAAATGTTCCAAACCCCTAATCCCTAAACCCCTAAACCCTACAACCAGACTGGATTTTGCTGGCCTCGCTTCGAGCCTGATGCCGTGGTGTCCGAGAAGCCTCACGAAGTTGGGCCTGCCAGTGGCGTTCGGCGCTGGCTCTTCTGCTTTTTTGTGCGAGTTCAGGGGTTTAGGGTTTAGGGTTTAGGAGTGTAGGGGTTTAGGGTTTAGGGTTTACGAGTTTAGGATTTAGAGTAAGCGATACAAGTCGGCGCGTGCTCATGATGCCCAAGAAGGGAGCACACATCCTCTGTTTCGGTTCACGAAATTAAGGTGCTGCAGCTGGAGCGTGCATCATGAGAACCAGCTGGGTCAGGGTCTTGTACTTGCGACTTTCTCGCCATCCTCCATGTGGACAGCAAGTCTGTCTGGGTTCACGAGGGAACGTGCTGATCTGGCCCGGCTAGAGAGCGCTCATGAGCATCAGCCGGGTCGGGGTTTCCTACGTGCGACTCTCTCGCAATCTTCCATCTGCCGGGCAACTCTGTTTGGAGTCACGAGAGTACGTGCTGACCTGGCCCAGCTAGAGCGTGCATCATGAGCATTTTGCATGTGCGACTTTCTCGCAATCTTCTGTGTGGCAAGCAACTCAACTCTGTTTGGGTTCATGAGAGTACGTGCTGAGCTGGGACAGCTAGAGCGTACATCATGAGCATCAGCCGGGTCAGGGTGTTGTACGTGCGACCCTCCTTCCATCTGGCAAGCAACTCTGTTTGGGTTCACGAGAGTACTTGCTGATCTGGCCTAGCTGGAGCGTGCAGCACGAGTACCAGCTGGGCCAGGGTTTTGTAGGCGCGACTTTCTCTCAATCTTCCATGCGGCAAGCAACTGTGGTTGGGTTCACGAGAGTACGTGCTGATCGGGCCCAGCCGGATGTCTCCTCAGTCTTCTCTTGACACACAACTCTGCCACGGTTCGCCTGCGGTATAGTGGCTGAATTTCCCCTACTGTCTTCGACTCTTGCCATCTTCGGATGACGCCACTCAGATGAAGATAAGGCCGAAATTTCCTCCTCCTCCTCCTCCTCCTCATCATCCTCCTCCTCCTGGCTGCAGTTGTTGCGGCTCTAAACCAGCCCTCCCCGCCTTGCCTTCCACAGCAACTACTGAGCAAGCCCGAACACTGGCGCCTGAACATTTCGCCGGGAATTTTGCACCAAATGATGATGAACCGTACTTGGCGGTTCGTGGGCAGTTTTAAATGGGGTTATAAGTAGTCAAGTATGGGTTCTAATTACAGTTACCCTACGTAGAACCCCACCTATAACTACCCATAAACCTCCAAGAAACGAGAAGTAGACTTCTACATTGTTTCGGCAAGCGTTTCCTAGCTTAGCTGAAGGCCGAGTGGATATAATCTCGAAGCGACCGCTGCCTGCACCTGGGGAGCCATTGATGGCTTCACTGAGGGCACCGGCCGCGATGCGAGCCGTGGGATTTCCACCTGTGAGGTTTTGGGCTTAAAGCTTAAGTTGGGGTGGGGGGGTGAGGTGGGCCCTAAACCCTAAACCCCTAAAGGTTATGTTCTAGTGCTGCCAGTCAAGGGATGAACCAATAGATTGCCGGCTTGCCAGCCCTGCTACTCCCCTTCTCCTCCTCCTCTACTACCACTACCACTACCACTACCACTGCCACTGCTGCTACTACTACTACTACTACTACTACTACTACTACCACGACTACTACTATTTCTACTACTTCTACTACTTCTACTGCTGCTACGTCTACCCCAAGGATTTCCTAACCGTTGATGTGGAAGGGAGTCCATGACCAGGCTCTCACGATGCATATTCTAAAGTTGGACATTTTCGTGCTGATTTTAAATAATATGAAAACCCCAGATTATAATAGGATGTAGGTGTAGAATGTAGGGTA